TATATATAGTGTCCTCCATATAAGTGTGCATAAAAAGAGTACAACTGGTTTACTGGGTAATAATATTTTTTACACATATTTCTAAAGAGAATATATTACACAACATAAACACGTTTCGGTTCGAATTGTAATTGGAAAAAATGTGCGCTGCGAAAAAAACAAGCACCTGTAGACTGTGAGATTTTTACACACAATCTCATATTGCTCAGTTGTTTTGATGTTTTCAGTTTTAAGCACGAGCGATTTGCCAGAGTTGTCATCAGTCTGAAGCAGATGCTCAATCATTGGATCCCTACGGCGGATAGACAAAACAGGAAGACGATTCTCAGAACATAGGGGGCACTATAGTCTAACGTTCATGCAAACGTTCATCAGTTAGCCAAGAGAATCGTTGTTTGATGAAGCATTGTTCCTTGTTAACACCCTCTAGCCTGCACCTACCGCTACTACACAAAGCCCTTCCTTCACTCTCTCACAAAGCGCGATGTAGGGCAATTAGCTACACGCACGGACACATTCAATAGCCGGACGGCTTTCCCATCTGCCGGCTCGTTCGTTTCTGGCACCAATACCCACTGGCCACAAATATCTAACCCCCTGCATTTTGCTCCCTTTAGCGGTAGTGAACGGACCCTCTGGCACTAGGGGCTGTACTGTCATTGCTCCCTTTTGGTGATTTACGAATCATTTGGCTCCCGTCATAGAGCTCCCATTTCAACAATGACTTAGATATCGTCCACGACTACGACGCTCATAACGACGAAAGGACAGATCATTATCAACATAATCCTGTCGTGCCGAGTCACCGTGCAAACCCCCTTTTCTCCCCCTAGTGTTGTCAAGCATCGGCGGGCACAACTCACTTGCTCGGTTAGCTTATTGAGACTGGCTGGTTGTCTGGGCTATACGGAGCCGGGGCTTGAACGCAGCTAGTTCGGCTTTCAAAGTACGCAAGCCAGCTAGACAGCATTTCGTTCACCCAGGAAAGGATAAGTTCGGAAGAGTTCGAGTAGCTATGCAGTGCTAGTAGATATCTTTTGATCGACTCGTGACGGGTGGTGGTGAGTAAGGCACTAGAAAAGCAAGAAACAGGAAACGAAATGGATTTTGTTAACGATTCTCTTAAATTCCTCTAAGTTAAATTTGCCATCTCACACTAACTTCTCATAATCTTTGTCACCAACCTGACTCCCACCCTTCTTCGCTGTGCTTGTACAGCCTACGCTTGAAAACTGGATAATTCCTCTTAAACTTTGTGTCATTTAAGCTTTAACGGTCTTTCTTCCTTAGCATTAGCAATAGGTCCATTTTGTCGCTGTCTTATTCGCTACTCTCATCATAATCATCGTCATACATTAGAGACGCGCGGGGATATATCAGCAGTTTGTCGTCGTTGTCATTGATGAGCAACATATGTACGTATGTATAGACTATCATTCCTTTCATCCGAGCTACGTCATGCATTTACCTCGCCGCGCCGTAGAACTCAGTGTATGTTGAGTAGTGTCCAAGTTCAATGGGGGTGTGCGCGCTTGTCAATGAAACTGCTCCTTATTTTCCCCTTTTTCCCATCAACTCTTTCTCTGCGAACCACAAGCCGCTCGACAAAAAGCGACAAACCAACGAAAGCGGTTATCGAAAGCGATAAAGAGTACAAAGCCGGATCTATTCATCCAAATAGCGCTTGTAATCGGTTAGATTGTCGAATACAAGAAAGTCCAAAGGCTCCGCCTAAAACGAAAGCAAAGCTTGCACGCACAGGGATGGGATATGTGTGTCGTCGCACACTGTAGGGCTGGGGGTAAGGAAAGCATGGCTCTCGGGTTTGGCATTTGTCCCATCAGCTTGTTCGCTAACGCTTCTTCTCCCTCGTACTCTGACTTTGCTCAAAAATCAGCCGGAACGCCGTTGGCTGCGCTGATGTTCCTAGTGCTCACAGGACTACCCATTCTTCGTTCGTTCCGTGCGCTGCTTCTTGCAATAATCATGGATTGCGACTCACTCGCGCTGCCGCGACGGATGGCGCCGCCGTCAGTAGTAAAAAATAACTCAAATAAATGTCGAATATGTTGAGGGAGATCTGGAAAAGATTCGAGAAGTGCTCCGCCACCAGCGGTAACGGGAACAGCGAGCGGGCCAGCTGTGCGCTCGGGATAACAGCATACGCAGTTTGGCTTTTCACCGATCAGCGCGTGCCGCGGGCTTCGTCGCTGACTGAAAAGCAGCTGAAAGCTGTTGAAAGGATTGAGGCTGGAATTGGCAGAAGAGAAGGCGGCGTAAGCCAATGGAACAGGAGAGACGGCAAGACGGGTTGCAGAAAAAGAGCATTCTTCCTCTCAGCTGCTTTCTACATGTGAAAAGCAGTTAGAGGCCCAACGTTTCGAAAACCCGTCGGGTTGCTTGTGGTACGTTGATGGGTACTGCTTGATCCCTAGTAGACGCAGGACTGGCTGACGACGACGCGAAAATGGCGTTTATTTACGCCGTAGAAAACTCTTGGGGGCCTTGCTCAATTTATCCTTCACTATTATCTCCATCATTACGGCCAATAGCGACAGTAGTATTAGCTGCTAGAAAGAGAGCAGGAGAAAAGGATCCCGGTGGCCTTGCGTTAGTACTTGCCACCGCATTGCCATATTCAGTTGGGGTTGTGGCCCAGCACGGCGCCAACTCGTGTCCTTTCTTTTGCTCTTTCTCATCGTTTGCTTCTGCCCGCCTCTTCCTACTGGTCTGCGAAGCTCTCGTATATGTTCACTTAGAGAAAACCAGAACTGCTTGGCGTGCTGCCATCGCCAGCCGCCGTTACCCCAACATAATCCCGAGCAACCAGCCGGCCAGTCCGCCTGTCCGGACCTCAGCGTTGCTGACGTCTGAGGATCAGGATAGCCCGAAACGGGTTTGTGAGATATCAACAGGGGGGAATATAAGCTCTGTCTAGCGGCTAGATTTGCATAGGTTAGCCTGCTGCCAACTGACTGAGTTGAGAGGGGGATAAACAGAAGACACGGAGCGAGTTCTTGCCATGCCTCGCGGCGGGATGTATGTGCGCGTTAGAGTTGCCTTTGAGCTTCGTTTGCACGCGGGTTGCTCCCGAATCCGAACTAGTTACTGCGTCCTGTGGCAGGCTGCCTCGCTACTTTTGCTTGAAAAATGAGCCTGTTTCTGAAAGCGGCAGCAGGAGCAACAGAGAGCGGCAGGAGACTACGTCCTCCGATACTAAGCTGGACCGTCTGCGCTTGCCGATCTTTTATGGTAAATAATCTCTTTCCTCAATAACATAATCATCATGTTACCTAAAAATAGTATTAGGTCTTTGCATGGACAAGGGCAAGTTCTGAAACTTTCAGGAGAACCACATCCCACACCATGTGCGACCACAACTGACTTCCATTGTAACCTTAATATAGGTTAGTTGACAACTTCGGCTTTTTCTCGGCTGTTTCCGACATCAGTCAGCGTTAAACAATGCTCCAAGCTTAAAAATACAACTTAGGCATAAAACATTACTAATCACTGAATTGTAACGATCTTGTTTTTTGCCTGTGGCTGGCGGATATTCACATTTGAACAGAAAGAAGTCTATTTTTCAATTGCCTTTTATATTAATATGATTTGACGAGTCGCGTGAAACAAATCTGTAGTTATCTACCAGGAGAAGCATAAAGAATGATAAAAGAAGAAGCTTTATAACTTAATTTATAATTTAAGATAGGGGAGGTTTGTACCTATATGTACTTAAGCTATCAATGAAGACAATCGATTCCATGGGAAACAAAAAAAAATGTACCCCTATATTTGTTAGACACGCTTTTCTTGTGCTTAATTTGACTTAATGCAGTCGATGCCTTTTTGAAAAAATAGAAATTTAAAATACATGTGCCGCTGGCCCAAACTGGGCCAAAACTGACCAATTGATTTTATTCTTACTTATAAAAAAGACGATGCTTTTTAATTATTCATTTGCAAGTTAGACAGGTCAAAATATATAATTAAACACCATAAATGTACATGTTCTGCTGCACAGTGTGAAGGTGGCTTCTGAATCGTCCCGGTACTGGCACATCCACAAGTAGTATCTTCCATAGGGTGAGTTGTAACCTGGACATATTTGTTTCCTTCCATTTTTCTATAGAATTAGCATCGACAGTATCCAATTTTATTTGTGCTTGAAATTCAACGTTTTATATAGACCTATTTCGACACGGCTCAAGTAGCTTCCCGGGTAGTCAGGTAATATTGCTTAATAGAACGATCCTTATAAAATGCAGCTTGTTTTTGAAAATACAGATTTGGGACAACCGGCCGACTCAATTTTTTATCATTGAAAAAAATTTTATTAAATGCTCAATTTTTAATTGCAAATTAAAAGCTGTCCCATGTAGCTCCAGGATTTTGGAATATGATCGAAAAGAAAGTTCAGTAACGCGATCTGTCTCATGTAAATCTGAAGATCTAACAAACTTCATAGTAATGAAATATGAAATCAACGTTGTTGTGCTAGACAAAAAAAACAACGGTTCCATGTCGAAAAATTATTTATTGCGTCAGAAAGCAGCTTTTTGCTACTCGGACGTGTGTCAAATCAACGCTAGAAACACTAGATACGTATTTTTAAATCCAGGCAGCGTTTTCCGTACGTCGAAAAACAGGAGTCGAATCGTCCCTAAGAGCAGGAGGTCTAAGTTACAACTTTGCTGTACGTAATCTGTATTAGAATGAACCACTGGAGCACGTAGTGTGTTCCTACGCTCGCTATACATCGCCGCCGTCGCTTTCGGCAAGGTGCACGGCACCGCTATCTCATTCGTCTAGTTTATAACGAAAATTTCTGCATTGCAAGACATAAATGTAAATGACTTCAGCTTTATTATGTGGAATGCTAGTTACTTTGATTGACTTATAGCTTACTGTAAGAAATCATTTCTAAATATTTTGTTAAACTAATGCTACTATTTCTCTTTCAGCTGGCTTCGGTTATCGCGAACTATATATTAGGTTTCAGCGTCCAAGGTGGAAGTTCTTCGCTATTTTAAAATGATTCATTTAAAAGTTAGCGAAGCTGATGTAATTGTGTGTACTTTCAGGAGTCGTGTTCTGTATCTCTATTTACAAGCTAAGCTGGGGCTGTGACGAAACGAATTGCAATGAACAATACAGCGTGTGCTTGTTCTTCCTTTCTTATTTTCCCTTGGCGGTGCATAAGCTCTCAACACTAACTCTCGATCTCCCCAAGGAAAAAACAGTGTGTCTCTATAATCCACTTGTCTAGAGTTCTTATTTTCGGCTGAGCGTTGTCTGGGCCAGCATCCAGCTCTCCCGCTCACTTTTTCTGCTTGCAGCTTACCACTGTCCATTGCTAGAAGCCCTGAACAGCTGCCGTGTGGTGCACTCAGTCGTCCCTCGTTACCTTCCTTTAGTGAAGAGCATTTCCAGAGAAAGACGAAAAGAGCCTCAGGATCTAATCGCACCAGGCGGAACGAGGTTTCCGCTCGTGCTGTTTCTGTGACGGGAGCGGCTACAGTCACGGTGAAGGCGATAGCGGTGCTTCTCTTGGCCGATCAAGCCGCTACTAGCTTTAGTGCGGAGCGCTTCTAGAGCGCTACGAGCAGTGACAGGAACCTCCGTTCCCCAAGGACTATGTCATATTTAAGAGGATTTCAACTTCTATATCCATCCCCAGAGAAGGGGAAAGACCGCTGGTCAGTTTCGATTCAGAACTAGCTCTGCGGGATCCTTGCGTTTCGGAGGCAGCTGACGGCAAGTGGCAGCAGCACCTCTCCCCTCGCTAAGTTCGTGCGTCGATTAGGGACTGGCCGATCAGGCAAAGCAGATAGGCCGAAGCGATGGCCTTCAAAGAAGCGCTGCCGATAATTAACGAGGGGTCTATATTTTTCCTCGCTCTAATTTTTTTCCCTTGCTCTAGAATACCTGAAAACTAGAGCCTGGATGCCGCAGTTCGGATAGAGCAGTTCTCTAGGTAGGGCCGGATCGAATCGCTCTATAGCTGTCGGAACCGGCGGCTGTTTTTCAGTTCTCCTGGAGCTTCCCACCTTTATCTTCTCGTGTTTACTAGTTAATGCATTCTTTACGAGACGAAACACCAAATGATTTGCCCCATATGACAAACCAGATTGACAAAAAAGTACATCTTGACGACACAGAAACTAGAAGGATGGTTATTAATAGCTGAAAGCAGAAAAGAAGAAAAAGATAAAGTAAATCGAAATCGGATTGTTTACTCTGCAACCAATATATACTAGTCGTACGTTAGGATATACGTAACTAATCATTAATCAAGCATCTTCTTTAATATTGTAATTTCACTCAACGAGCAGAGTTACGAAAGACGAGCTTCGACGCCGGCTTGTTAAAGCTTCGAGCACGATAAGCCAGTACAAATATTCACGGTCAATTTTGGCATCTACACAGTGATATGGATGAGAAGAAAACTAATCAACAATTGTTGGTTTGTATATGGCGAGCCTGGTTAGATATTGTTAGCAACACCTCGTTTTTTTCTCGAACCCATGAGTTTTTGAAGTAAATAAAATAATCTACGAAATATGTATATTCTTAAACATGTAGCACTAACGTATCATCTAATAACACCCTAAAGTAAACGTTTTTGAAAACGTTATACCTTTCCAAAGGTCTTTCAGTCTGTCCTTGGTCTTTTAAGCTCGAATATCAACGCTACAAATCTCACGTTTCGTTAATAGCAGTGAAGCTGGTAGACCTCTCCAACGTTATATTGACTGATGAAGATAAATCTGGCTTGAATAAATGGTAATATAAGTTTTATATTAGTCACGAGCGCGCCCTAAAAAGAATAAAGATTTCATGATTAGTCACTGGATAGTTTGAGGGCAAGTCAGCATCATTAGAAAAGCAGACTCTTATAAAAAAAATATATCGGATTATACTATATGGTAAGGTGGTTATAAAGTGGATGCAATTATATAGCTTGAGTGAACAAATTGCTCTTCATATGAATGTTGGCTGTTCTTTCGTACGACGGACTAAGCAAGCGCCGAAGGATTCTGCTAACAATAGACAGCGATACAATCACTGGGTGTTTAAAGTACTCATTATGCAACACGTGGTTGCGGAAGAAAAAAGCAGCACGTAAAAAATAGAAGCATTTAAATATACCAGCTCGGACCTACTTGTGTACAAGGAAGGAACCCAGATAGACACTAATGCCAGCATTAATACACGTAATTCTATCTATCCGGCTATCTATCCGGCTAATCGACAGTGCTATGCAAATAAAACAAAAAGAAGGATGAGGCGTACATCTGGTAAAGGAAGCCTTTTTATTCAACTGCCTAGCATCACTCCTAACCTTAGCCTCTTCAGTCCCGACTACTTTCGATCCCTCTTCAATCTCCATTCAAAAGGTTGGAGTTAAATTAGGTTCTGTTTGCATTCAATGCGTTCATCTGCTTATTGTATGAGAGGCCACGGCCACCCCGTTTTGTCGGACTTACCAGCTAGAGTTCGGAGGGACCCTGGGACCAAAGGGAGTCACCAGAGAAATTGGAGCTGCGGTGGATGCCTCTAACACTGTCGACTCCGCCTGCACATCTGCAATGCCGCTGTACCAAGCTAACTCTGGAAAGCAGCTACTATATCCTTTTCGTTCCTGTTCCCCCAGCCAGCTAATAGTTGCTCGTGAGGACTGCACTGTTTAACGTTAATTTATTCGAACCTGCCTTCTGCCTCGGCAACTGCCTCCCTTACTGCACTGCCTGTCGTCCTTAAATTGATTAATCCACTTGCAATGACATGCCCCTTGCTGTTTTCATTTTGCCCTATCCCTCACCGTCTTTTACTCGCAGGTATTTCACCTTATCTTCCACCTTTAAATTCGCCTGCTAGCTCTCGCCTTCAGCCTTTTCCTTCATCTTTTGTTCAATATTCGTTAACCAGATACCGAGACAAACAAAAATAGTCCAGTAACAAGTTTGGTATCTTGCGATTAGTACTTGTAGATAGCGTAACGACAAAGACAATTGCGCCGTTCATGTTTCGCTTTGCTAGCGTTAAATAGTTCAGCCAAATTTTGGCGAGCTGCGAGGGCCACACCGCTTGTTTAGGACGCGTCATTGTTAGGAATCAAATGAGCCTTTCTTCATTCCATACACGTTTTTTTTCTTAGCTTTTAGCGATAAACATGGAGGGAGCGTTGAAATCACACAGATGACAAAACGTACCGCCTCTATCGAAGCCTGGTTAGTACTGCACCTTCAAAACGTAACGTGCTCGTGACTAGAGTTAGCCGGCGTAGGCTTTAGAACCGATCAGCAAGGCGATAGCTGCCGTAGGTTTTGCTTAACCGCATATGCGCCACTGCGTCTGTGTCCGCTTCCACTGACAAGTTCGTTGTTATTGATTTCACGCGATCTTTGAAAAACTCTCTGTACACACACACTATAATATAGTCTGTCAGTGGACTCATATGCCGGATCCCAAGTGCATTGGCACGTTCCTGTCACCTAGCTTGCTTAAAAATCCTTCCAAGAGTTTTAAAAATGAACGAACGGTCGAACGCAGCTCTAGACTCATATCACTTCCGTTGCCACCGTTTGCTTCTGTTTGGGCTTCGCGAAGATATAGAAATTGCAAACATTTTCGAGTTAGCGGAGCCCTCTCGCTTCTAGCCTACTCTGAACCAATCAAACCGATTTCGCGTATTTTCATGGTACATCACTTAGAGTTGTCTTTGTTGTGCAGCCTATTCCTTGATGGACGAGTCCTTTTCGGCCTTCTTACGTGTAGCTAGTGCTAACGCTGGCACCGCTTCGTAGTCGCATTGAAGTGATCGAAACCTTCACCGATCTCGTTTTGCGTGATTATCATTCCCTGGCTAGGCGACCGACGGTCGTTATTTCTGAACCCTCACCGGATCGCAAGCTCCGGCCTCATACACACGAAAGTTTGCCACAAGACTACAAAAAGCCCGGATGCCCCATTTTTTTGCTTGCAACGGAAAAGAAATTGCGTTTGCTCGTGCTATCGCCGATCACCGGGATGTCATATTTAATACCACACTACGTGCGTCCTCTATTAGATGGTAAGTAGCTGGCAAGTAAATCCACTCTTGTATTCGTATTTAGAAATAAGTGAAAAAAAATCTGAATTTAGAACTGCGCAAAAGTGCATGTAGGCGGATTTATTTAATATTAGAGCTATGTTAAATGGGTATCGAGAACCCTATCTATTGTGAACTGTTTGTTTTCCCACTCTTATCTGTTGAACGTGCGGGACAAGTAATGTTTCCCATTTGTTGAATTTGACACAATTTTTCCTTCCCGAAGCTTAGTTACCATGCTCTGCGTTGTAACTATGTATTTATGTCGTAGTCGTAGCCTCAAGTTGGGCTTAAAAAATATCACCTTCCTAATCAGAAAAAAGAGCTTCGGATATTCACCCGATGGAAACTGGACGGAGACCCCGTCAAATTGTTATTGAGTGTAACAGTATCATCATGAGTGTCTCACTGCAGTTTTTCGGGTACATAAACGTGATTGAACTCTTGTCTAACTATTAGGTGGGGTAGTAGTCTGGAGTTTCGGTAAAATGGCAATAATATGGTTTGACCTCCTTTGCTCTCAACTTCGCCTAAGTTCGTTAGATTATTTCGTTGCAGGTCAATCGATTCTTTCGGGTTTAGAGGATCAGCCCTGAGCGGGTTGGTGCAGGCGGAGATGGATTCGAGGCACTAAATAGGCCGAATATTGGTCGTCTTTTTAAGCAGCGCATTTTCTTAGTTGCCAAGTCTCGCCCGGGGGCTGCGGGGTCTGTATATTACCCTATTCTTTTAACTCAATTGCCCAATCCACTACCTGCCAACGACAGACGTTCTGTTTGTGACCCCCTCCCCAAATTCTCCCGGCATGACCTATAGCCCCACCCTGCGGGGTATCGATACTTATTGGCTTTTGTTGCTGACATCTGATATTAGTCCCTAACTCCTGTTCGTTAGCATCGAAGCCTCAGCAGGGTACCCAAAGACATAACCGTAAAGGCAGGCCCACAGACGCACGCACTTTTGTGAGCTAGCTGGCTGGCTGGTCGACATGCGGGGAGCAAAAAATCGCCGTGCTAACGGGTTTGAGTAATATTGTGTCGTTCCTGTATGCTGTACAGCCGCTACTATTGCAGCTTACCGCCTGGTAGCGCCGCGTCACATCATATAGCACTCTTTTACATCTTGCCGACATAAGGCAAAGTGACAAGGCGGCCACTGTCTTCTTATTCTTCCATTGCGACTGCTGTGGAACTTCGTTGGATCAACGATGAAACAGGAAGAACTCTCGGATGGCCAGCTAGCTGGCGCCAGGCTCGTCAGCCCGCCACTCCAGTGAGTCTCGAAATCACCGCCGATGGACCAACAGCGAAGCACAACAACAAAAACGACACAATGCTGAGTGAGACGTTCTCCCGTTCGATGCCCCTTTTTCTCTTCTTATCCCTCCCGTGCCTTCCTTCTTTGCCCTAACCTCAACGTCAGCTGCTCCGTCGTGGCCGCTGACGATGACGGCGATTCTGCTTGATGCTCATGAAGACTAGTTATTCGATGAAAGACTGCTAAAACTCCAATCAACGCAAGAGGCGCCATCCGAGTCAGCCGGCTAGTGCACGCTCAAACACAGCATGCAATCTCAAGATTCGATGCTCCTTTACCTCCTGTCGCCGCTGCACTGTGCTTAGTGTGCAACCTACGTCTTTGCTGCTGAGAACACTGACAGTGCTGATGCAGTTTCCTGTGTACGCGCACATATTCGCTAATAATTACACTGGCGCCGATTCAGCCCCATAACCATCTTCTTTTTTCCGTGTGCCCTTCTTCGTTTGACGTAGAATGTTAATACTTAGCATGAGAAATTAGCGCATTTCGGCAAGTAGACCGGGTATCAGGCGGCATTCAGGCTTAGGGAGAAGCGAGAAAAAGCAAGGCAGGCCAGCGGACCAATGAGTGGTAGAAAACGAAAAAAAGCCCGAAAAGGAGTGGTAAAGAGATACAAAGGGGAAGCAGCACCACGAATCGACATCAGAGGTTAGCAACGAGTGATGCGCCGACAGTGGCAGGGTCAGCATTAGTATTTGACCCTCTTGGGACCCGTTGGATCATTCGCGTTAGAATGAGGAAATCTTAAAGGCGAGGATATCAAGAAGGATAGAGAGGGGCCCTAGGGAAGCCAACAAGAGAAAACATGGGAAAAGCACGAAGTAGGAGAAGCGCAGGTAGAGGCTGTGAAGGGAATCGGATGTACAATCTCTGGATTCTTGCAGTTCCTGCAACGGACTGACTGGCCAGCCAACAAGCACACCGACGGTCATCAAACAAGCTCTAAGAAGTATGAGAAAGTTAGGGAGTGCCTAGCTATTCAATGCCGTCTGACCAATAACCGCACTACCGCAACTGCTGCTAGCCAAAGAACCAAGCAGTTTTATCCAGGCCACAGGACCTGGCTTGTGAACCGCTGGGCCCAGCACTGTAGAACTTCGCCACAGCAGAGTACTCAAAAGCAAAGCTAAGCCGTCGCAATGCGAATCAGATGGGTCAAGTAGCACGAATACTGTGTGGGTGAGTAACAGGATAGCATCTTATCGCTCTATACTGCGTGTGGAGTGCGATGTCGAGGAGTTAGCTACACTGAGAAATAACAAGGTCTGCTCGTTATAGAAGAAGAATATGCTATATTTCTCCTATAGCTCCCTGTGGGTAAAGTATGGTATAAAGAAATCTAAGATGATTGCCCTATTTGGATTACTACTGCTTGGGGATGGGTGGGCGTGACCATAGCTCTTCGCTGCCGCGGCCGTACCCGTTGTGAACGTAGTAAAAAGTAAGGGAAGAGCTAGCATTGCAAAGCAAGTACAACAGCTTTTTATAGTTAGGAACGGGCATGTAGCGTACGACTCACATAATAGAGTCCGGAGTAGATAACTTAAACTGAAATATCGCAGGTTCGTAGTAACAGCGGTAGAATTATCACGTTAGGCAGCAGCAGTTTCATCTATAAAATATAGCTGATAACAGTTTTGTGGTTCACTGTCTACTTAGTGCTGGCTGGAAACCTGAAAACAGGTCTCTCGTATTGTATCGCATAACTCTATTGGGACTTTTATAAAGCCTACTTATTTTTTGTCGATAGGCTGTTAGTGTTTTAATAAAACAGACTAAGAAAAACCCAATTATTTAAACGAAAAACAATTACTCTTGACTGGGCATGTCTGATGGACGCATCTTGTCGTTAGCACCATGCGCACTTAGACTCTATTTGATACAAAACCTAATCTATAACCGGGTCGAGTATAACCCGTGATAGAATCATTTGTGATAGCTTCAGCTGAAGAAACATTTTTGCTGAAAAATACATGCATATGTAATGTGTATTATATATGTGATGCCCGTGTGAGTTGATAGATCTAGAGCTAGTAGATATATAAAAAAAAAAATGGGGTGTTGACACAAAGGATGCTTCACCTGTCACATGCTTGTCTATCTAGACCCGCCTTTGAGATGACCCCAAGAAGCAAAATGTATTGCGTAATAATATCTAATTGGCACATTGTCGAAACATAAAAGTTAGCTGTACAAAAATCGTCTCTCACACCATCTTGAAAATGTCCGCGCACAACATCGGTCTACGATCGTTATTTATTTAAATAATATTTATCTTTAGACATATATATGCATGTTGTTTACGTGTTGATGACTTCTTTCCAGTAAACCTCAAATAGCCTGCTGATATTTCAAGAGGATTTGTTTGTCTGATACATTTCGAATTATACAGTTTCATAGTCGATTAGACACTTCTTACGTCACAAAACGATACCCTTCAGCGAACTGAAGTATTCCAGTTGTTTAGTCAAGTAACACAACTGCTAAACCCGCTACTAGAACTTTCCATAAAAAGTTATACTTCAGAGACAAACTTCGTTGACAACAAATTCCACAAATGATTGATAAATACGGGAAATTTGTTGACGAACCAGTGAATTTTCCCTTTTCCATAAAAAAAAAAATTCGAAATTTTATGCTAAATTCCACTAAAGGGTGACGAATATGGTTTCTGTAGTATACTCGTAAATACCAATAGATAAGTCGATGATCAAATAGGAGCTCGAAAATTGACTTCACCGTGTAACTGTAGTGCTTGAATTAGAGGTGTCGTCTCGCCCAAAGTTCTTTCTTGGTCATCGGCAAGTAAATGAACTGGAACCGCTATCTTTACGGGAACACGATCGTTGTCATCCAGACACATATCACACTGCCCCTGACGGAAATTTCTCCATGCTGCTGACCTCGTTCCGAATACTTCTTTCCATAAGTGAGCACCCTGCTGACTCAACCCGGTAGCAACGCTATCAAGTCGTTTGTGCACTCGAAGTGCACAAACGACTTACAGGACCGAACGGTCTATTCCGCCGCTTGGTTAATTTCATTACATCTGTGGTATATATTGATGCACGTCATGTTGAGTGAGCTAATTTCATGTCATTTTATAGGACGTCCTACGGGCAGCCGTTCCAACTTGTAGCTAGCTCTATACATAAGGGGGGAATGAGTCAAGAGAAACTGAAAACTTTTGGACTCTTCTTTTCAGCCAATTTAACGCTGATCATCACATCAAAGTGTTGCAAGTTATTATAGGTACATCGTACGATGTCGCACTATTGAACTTATTGGTAGAAAGCGCCCGATTTCGACTGAGCAAAACGGTTAGCTAGCTAGGAGCTGAGTAGAAACTTCACGCAAGTTCGCCCTGGCTTCCACAA